TCGAATGACCTGCAAACCAGGATTGGTCCTTCTGATTGCCATCAATCAGCAAATGTCCTGTCACGAGTGGAAAAACCACTTCGCAAGCAGCCCGCATGACCTGAGGGGCATAGTCTCCAATGATGCCTGGCACGTAGGTGGCATAGAGGTCTATTCTCGAATGATGAGAAATGACCACTGGCAAGCCGAGCCACCAAAGGAAGGGGACGAGGAAGAATGCGGCAGGTGTAAAGTCGAAGAACTGGATGATGTGCGGATTGAATCGCATCAAAGCCATCAGAAAGTGAGGAGATGGAAGTGTGATTTTGTGCTTCGGCTGAATCTCCACACCCGGTCCACGTGTCACCGTGGCTCCATAGTTTTCTGGAGCGAAAGGTGTTTCGGGACTGCCATTGCTGCAAAACACATGAACCTTGTGACCGTCACGGACAAGAGCCTGGATGGTATTCCTGGCAAAGTTCTGCACACCATCAAGCTTGGGAGGGAAGGAATCCCCTGTGAGCAAGACTCTCATCGGACCCCCAGATTTCGAGGAGACATAGTGGCCGGCCCAACAAGAGTAAAGAAGACACCACCTCAGGCCCTTCACGGACAACACGCAGAGGCTTGCACAATAAAGTGCTGTAGGACCACCAAAGGGCAACAAGCTAGCAAGGGCGAGAATTGGTGTCACGGTAAATTTCCATTGAGCAACCAGACGGATCTTCCATTTCCCTGTCCCCTTCTCAGCTTGTCGGCCTTCTTCTAAAGCCTTCTCTGCCATGGATGCTGTGAAAAGGCCAAAGGATGCCACCAGGACGCTCACTGCCATGTGAAGTGCTGAGATGTTGCCACGGGTGTTCATGTAGTAGATGGCAATCATGATGAGTCCATAGACGGTCCCAAAGGCGGTCAAAATCACTAAGGGTGGAGCATAGAGTTGGCCAATCTGTGGGACCATACTGAGAATGACCACTCCAATCCAAAGCACCGGGTAGAAGATTGCTGACAAACACCCGAAGAGGCTCATCAGTCCAAGACACCTCAACAAAGGTGACTTAAGGCAACAAGGTAGAAAAATGAATGTCAAAAGAAGTCAGTTGGGTCACAGCTGAATGTCTTTGAATGCCACAAGTCAGCTACATGATGTCCTTCAACCAGGTTCCTTCGCTTTACTTGTCTTTAGTTCTTCAGACCATTCGTTTGAATTCGAACCTTTGACCATCGTATTTGTTTAAAAAAGAAAAAGAAAGATCGTATCCCCACCTCAGGGAGAACCACATGTCATAGGGCCGCGTCGTCATCGCCATCTCGGCCCTCAGCCTCTCCTCCATCCGAGCCATTGATCCTTTCCACATCGCGCCCTCGATCGCGGTGCCGGCAAATGGCCAGGTACCGCAAGGATGGCTTACTCTAATGTGCGCCAACTTGGTCTGCGAATACAGCTGGGGAACCTGGATAGAAAGGCTTGGGGGGGTGAAAAGTTGAGGGTGAGCTGCACAAATGTTCTAGATGATCTGCATTGAAAATGTGCTTCGACCGAAGGCACTGCACAGCTTCTTTGAGTTAAAAGTAGCCAAGAGTGCGACGTCCAAAACAGTTCTGCAAAGCATCGAAACAAAGATCGCCAGGCGCAAATGCATCAGGTTCTGATGAATTCTGAGGTGGTTGCCATTCTCCAGCTCATCTTGCAGCTTTAGGGCTCTTTCCAGACCTGGAATCACAAAATCCGGGAGAAAAGATCGTCTTTGGTGCTTCTTTCAAGGAAAGTCGGCACTAGTTGGCTGTGAAAATAGAAATGCACACACGACCATTCCCACAACAGGATGGACTATGGATTGTGCTACCATTGATAGTAGGAATGGATGTTAAACAAGAACACATGTGTCCCGCATGCCTTCGAGACAAGCTCTCAAACTCACGTCTTCCTGAAGAGAACAGGTCTACAGCAAAGTCAGACCAGTAATGACAAGAAAGCTTACAGCACTGCACTACACATGTTTCACATCTGTTATGTTATTCAAACAGCAAGTCCCCAAACCAGAGGTCTCCTAAGCTATCGTACGACCTAAAAGCAGGTCTCCTCATAGCCATCAAATTTGATGACCCACAGACACCTGTGCGTGGTTTCACAGTCCTTTTCTAGGATAGAAACTTCCAAATAAGACATGCCAAAATAGTATTTTCGGACAGCAGTCAGCTGTGCAGCCTGCAATTAAGTCTGGTTGGACGAGAATGTTCACAACAGGCTCAGATAACTCTGGAGACAAATACAATGATGCAACTACTTCGCACCTGGTGTCATCATCTACCGGAGAGCAATCCACTTTGATGGCCACTAGGTCTTCAAGCAGCCTGACAGAAGGTCAAAGACTTGACTCTTACCGAAGGGCTCAACGCTGAACAGCACAGTCTTCAACTCGGGTTCCTTTGGAAAGAAAATAACGGATTTTGTGCAGGTGACTGCAGCGCTGTCACTACTGTCACAGTCCTCATTCTTCCAAGGAACAAAGGCAGAAATAAGACATGAAAAGGCGTGTTTTGTGATGAAGCGGACTCTGACTCTGGACTGATAAGCACAGGGATCGAAGTTTCAGGTCTTGCCTAAGCCATAAGAGATCGAAAGTATGCAGTATGCTGCCTTACAGGGCTGTCCCAAGACGCCGAAGTGCCTGTCACCCTCTGGATGGAAGCTGAGCAGAGTCTTCATGGCATCTTCATCATCCTCGAATCGAAGGTGCATTCCAGGCTCCTGCCATGCATGGTCAAGCAATACTCATCTGTTCTGGCCATCTCTGAGGGTCTCCTGCTCCAGCACGATGTCTACCACTGTATTTTGCAGAGTTGCAAGAGACGAATACCTTCAAGGCACACTGAGGGGAAGCAAGTTTGTTCAGCCATACCTTTGGTCCGACATACTTGCCAAAGCTACCTGAGTGCTGGCCTCCGCCCAGCCAGGAGGATTGCTTCGCTCTTGGGACGCTCTTCAAGCACCTCAGGAGAGAACCTCTGAAAATTCCAAAAGAACCACTCCCCATCCCCCGTTCACGAAACCATTCAGGTTCACAAACCGAAAGCGGGGATCCCCCAGTCCAAACCGAGATCGCAGCTGCTAAGGCAGAGCTGGGAGACATCAAGTCCGAAGCCTCAAATCCACGGGTGAAAAATGGGCAAGGCCCACTGTGTTTCCTTTGGGAAGCAATGGACCTTTAGAGATGTTATTCACATCGCTACTTCAAAAAATAAGAAGTGGCACCTGAGCTTGAGGGTCGGACTACATCAGGAATGTCTGTAGGATTGTCACGATTTAGGTCGAAGAGAGCCTGAAGTTCCAGGTACTCGTTGTATATGCAATATTGATGGGCCACAGCGCCAAGTCTGAGCAAGGTGCATATTGTTCGCCAGGGCTAGGTCCAATTAAAGACCTGGTTGTCCACTTGAGGCTTGTCACAAATAGAACATCCATAGCATGCCTTGATGTATTGGGACTCATATCTCTTCCTCCAGGGCAACGGCTGTGGGAGCAAGGGCGCGCCTCAAACAGGAAGCTGGCTTTTGACTCTCTTATCTGGAAACACTGCGACTTTACCACTTGAATATGATGATGTCCTAAGCATCTTCATTGGAAGGAAACTGACGTGGAGTGAGGCTTGCCTTCGGCAGCCTCCAAGGCTCCTTCTTCATCAGCAGCTTCGCCCTTTGCAGAAGAGCTTTCGTCGGCTTTCGTCAACTTGGGTTTGCAAGCTTCCAGCTTAAGACAATGTGGGTGTCGACCAAAAGAGGAAGCTTTTAAAGAAAGCTACCCTACTTGCCCGGCAAAATGAAAGCTCAGGTCAGGGGTGTCAAAAAGAGGCCACAAGTCATGGAACCACAGGCTCGGAAGGTTGGCTCAGGCCTCAAGGCGAGCTGGACCAGGATCCTCAAGCACCTCAAAACCGCATGAGGACACGTTCCTCGAGCACCAATGTCCTGTTTGGAACTCATCGTCGCTCACCTGGTGGGTGTATGGCCAGCCAGGAGGCATCTCATATACCTAACGCAAGGAAGTAGGCAGACTTCGGACATTGCAGAGTCAAAGGATACAGTAAGTGCTTGGCCTCGGGTCTGTTGACAAAACGCATGACGAGGCCAAGGTCGGATTCACTCAACCACACCTGCACAGGGTGGTCGTGTCTGAATTACGTGTTCATTGCCACTTGGCAGACTCTCAGTTGTATACTGAGTGTTTGTCGTCTATTGTGCTATCCGCTGTATTTATTGCCTTGTTGAGACGGACTCATGGCGACAAAATTTCAGCAGTGGGCACCTCGATCGCTGTGGCAGCATTGCAAAGCACTGTTGGCAACACTGCTGCCTCTGCAGCTAGCAGCTCCTGAAGCGATAAAAGCTGGAAGCTCTCAGCAACTGACCGTTAAGTCCTCTTTCTGATAAATGTGCAGCTATAGACTCTTCGGAAAATGTCCATGACCGCCACACTGTGACAATTCACTACAGATGACTACAAATGACTACGGACCGCATTCTCTTTGGAGGTCTTTTTCTAAATCGTTGAGCCGCTCCTCGGATCGAGACCCTGCGCCGGCCCCAATGTAGAGGCAAGTGACGCGATTGCCAGGTCCTCGAAAACGTCAAATGTCTCAGAGCATGAAAATAGTTGATAAAAAGGCCCTCGACCCGGCCCCTGATCTAATCTTACCATCATTGTAGACTTATTTATAGGCTCCGTAGGTCACAACCATCTAAGTTAAGGGCCCAAAGCCGAGTATGCGGAGCGCAGCCATGGATTGGAGTTGTTGAAGGCATTTCCTGAGACTTTCAGTGCACACCATTCCCTTGCTCTGACCACCACACAGCTCTTTCGTGTTCACCCATTCTCTTGGTTTTCCACTCATGCGCAGCTGGCCAAATGGTAGGCTGGGATCGCTGAGGACAAAAAGCACCATGGCCTCGACCGAAGGCGCTCAGTTGTGTTAATAAAAGGGTGCGTCGAAAAAGATTCCCCCTGTTGATCAACTTAACACAGCTTTTTCCTGCGCAACGCCAGAAAGATGCACGAAAGCTGGAATGTGTTCTTCAGCCTTCCAGGGCTTTCCAGTCTGAAAAGGTCTTCATCGGAATGACACCACAGCTGGTTTCAGAGAAGTCTCTCCCGGCCCATGATGCCGATGGGATGCTCAACACCTCGTCATCTTGACGCTGCACCTCCTTTAGGGTGCAAGTTGCCCAATCGAGGAATCGCTACCTCAGAGCCGTCTCCTGGAAGTGAAGACCCAAGAGCTTCATCGTGGCCTGTGACAAGCTGGTGGTGATTAGCCTCATGAACACAAGAAATTTATTGCCAAGAAGACTTTAGTTAAACACCTCGACACCCTGTTGCAAATCTTCAAGTCTGAGATGTCCAACCAAGTCTGCGTGCAACATCTTACCTGATGCAACAACTCTATTGAGACAAAAAGGAACTGTAAACCAACTGCATTGGGACCACCTAAGCCTTCTGGCCTTGATTAAAAAGGCGAAGCAGACCTCGTATCAGTCAGCCAAACCCCATGCCAGCAGTGGAAGCTCTCTTGCCCGTGACCGCAGTTGGCAAACTGGACTCCTGGCCGCGATTGGGAAGTGCTGGCATTGAACAGAAACAAAATCACACCCACCTTTTCTCGTCGTGCGCGCTTGATCCGGATCTTCTCATCTGCCTTCTCCTTGCTCCACGAACGCTGCTGAGGCTGATGGGAAGTCTTGGTGCTAACAGGACAAATATTTCCTATGTTGAGTTTGCCAGGATGCCAGCTTCTCTCGCGCGTCTTGCAGAACTCGTTTTTTGCCTATCCTGCGCAGCACTAAATTTTGCCAAGTCGACAACGCTGCGTGGACGACAAGTACAACATCAAGTTTGAAGATCAAAGGTCTGAATCAAGTGCTGATCAGGACACCTGTAAGCAAGTGCTGCACGTTCACGCCCTTCAAGCTGCTGAACAACTTCCTCCACAAAGTCATTGACGAGATACTAAGTCCAAACACCGATTGGAAACATCTGTCCTCATCCTCGGTCAGGGTGGTCTCGTAGGATGCCAGCGCGCCCTATCACAGGATTCGTTTTCGAGCCCTGGGGGCTTTCAAATAAACAAATAAATGACAGATATGTTATGTTTGACCAACTCAATAACATCCCCAACAGCTGAGCATGATCTCTATTAAGCAATGGCAATGTCGCAAGTTCACCAACAAGCGGTGCCTTTTGCCAGAACGCTGCATTGAAACATGCGAGCATCACAACAAGGCATTGGCACATGTGCCCACATATGTGCCAGCATGACAACGCCGCAAGAAGCAACAGCCACGGAACTTGCTCCGGAGACCTCCTGGAGCCTGTCACGCTGATATGGTAGCATGGTGTCAGGCTGTCACGCTGACATGTTGCAACGGCTAACACGCTGACACGTTCTCACAGTGAGATGCTGAGATCGGGTACTGTCGTGCTCGCATGCGGGCAACCTGTTAGCATGTCTACACATCCGCGTGGCAGCCCAAAAACGCCGGCATGACACCATGTCAACCGGCGTGACAACACCTCAGCGTGTCAGCTTGACAACACATGCGTGCCAGTGCCAGAGTGCCAGCAAATACAGTAGATCATCATGACAGCGTACTTGCAAGTTAGCATGACAGAGTGGCAACATGTGAGACTGTCGACATCACAGAGCTCACACACCAGCATCGTAGCCTGAGGGAATGACAACAAACATGCTGACATGTCAGCATTACGCCTTGACAACGTCCTGCGAACCTCGCTCCGGAACATACTCCGGATGGAACCTCCTCCGGAATCTGACCTGCTCTGGAACCTGCCAAAGCTTGCTTGCTCCGGAACTTGCTCTGAAGCCTGGTCCGCAACTAGCTCTGGGACCTGCTCCGAAGGCTTTACTATGGCTAAGCTTCGCTGTTGGGGAAAAAAAGAGAGGAAAAAGAGAGGGAGAGAGAGAGAGATGGAAAAGCACGGTAAAGGGGCGTTAAGGCCCCTTCAAATGGCCACTACATCGAATTATCGCACCTCGACTGCTTGCTTCAACACCCACAATGCTCGGCGGCGGTGCGTCGCAGAGAGCCCTGCATTATGGCATTCTCTTCAGCGGAGAAGAAATACGACTGTGTACAATGCACAAAGAGAAGTCCGAAAGCTCTCTAGAATTACTCTGCACAGTTGCTGTGTATGTGATTATGCGGCCAACATGTAGCCTTCTAAGCCCGAATTGAGCATCTCTTCGTTTGACATCAGATTCCATTCCTTAGCTGCAATCGCATAAAGTGTTCGACAAGGCGACAAAGGCTGCTGCCATCCCATATGATGCAAAGGCGCAGCTCCAAGGACATCTTCTCGCGATTTTCCGCCCAGGACCCCTTGGTGTCCATGCCGGGTGGCATTGAATCAGCTTTCCAAAATAGCAACACGTGCTAAGAAATGTCCGAACCCTCTGATTCATGCTCCATCTTGGCACAGCGCTGGCCGCTGCAAGTAGTTTCGGATCGAAAGTCTTTATCAGCGTAGAACTCCTGGCATTGTGAGCTCAGACCAAAGAAGTGAAGCAAAGCGAAGCAAAGCGGAACAAAGCGAAGCTTAGCGATTCAAGACCACAGTGGGCCTGCGGACTTTGGCAGATGCTACCCAGTCCCCAGGCTTATTGTCAGGTGCAAGATCCATCACTTTGCCTTATAGATGTCTCAAGGAGCATGCGGAAAGCATGCGGAAAAATACAGCAAGAAGAAATCAGCACGGGCAGACAGAAGAATCCCATGTGGAAGGAACCAGGTCGAGGTCTGCGGATGTTCAGTTCCTGGTCTGATCTCGGTCAACCCCAGGCTCTTAGTCAAGCTACGAAGAGTTGACAGCTGCCAAGGCTGTACGACACCCTTCTTCAGGCCAACCTCAATTCGGGTGATACCGGGTCATACCTGTTTGCCGTGCACTTGCCATGCATTTGCCATGCATCGAAAACCATCTTTTGCTCAGGCCAAGTTGCATGAATTGTGACATCATCTGGCCTGAGCGTGCCAGTTGGTGGCAATAATATGTCCAGAAATGTCTTAGGAAATGGATGTCTAGGAATGTGTAAAACAACAGAGACACCTCACCGTAGATGTGTGCAAACAGAGCAAATGGCACCTTGTGGTGGACAAGCCGTGATCCAGCAACAAATCATCAGGAGGGATCTCCATCGGCCGGCAGAGTTTCTCGCCTGAAACCAATGAGTGACATGATATTGCAGGTGACTCAAAGCAATTGGAACAGTGTTGCCACATCAAAGATTTAATTTCAGGTAGCAGTTTGTCCCTTTCAAGTGCTGCCTTCCTTCAGGTCTCGAGAAGCAAGGAGAATGGCAATGTCTTTGCCGCCAGGCCCTGCGCATGGGACCCAAGGCTTCTAGAAAACAAAGAACCAAAAAATGTGAGGTTCCTAGGTGCAATGAGGCGGGGTTGAGCTTCGGATGCGCTCGGTACATGCATCTCCTTCCTGCGTTTATGAAGGAAAGTTGAATGGCGGTCAAAAGCCTTCTGGGACACCAAATCCTTTGAAAAGCAAAATCAGTATTTATGAATAAATACTATATATATATATATACATATATTATTCCTTTCTGCCACCTAGTGAAGGGAAGCTTCACAGGCCATTGGGAGGTCTTCGTCTAACCAGAAAGGCCTCAGGCTCCACTTGCAACTGAGGGATCTGCAGCGTATACTAATTAATAGCTTCTTGTTTCTAATAGCAAACATCGTTCCTAGTAGTACAGCCAGGAGCCCCTAGTAGCGTTTTGCTCCTAGTAGTAAGGCCCTTTGCTCCTATATAGTAGCGTTCTCTAAACGTGCGCGGCTTGACGCACCTCCTTTCCTTTCAATCTGTAGCTCGCAGTTGGACTCTGCCGGAGTGCCCGCCAGCACGGTGGCCTGACGCAGCGAGATTGATCCAAATGACCAAGAGTAGCCAGTGGTTCCTGTCTCTGCGAGCCTCAGGAGGCCCTACTAAGTCCAAAAGGGGCAGCAAAGCTCTTCTGCCAGGTCGCACCTGGTATGAAGTCTCAAAAAGTGTCCTTCCAAAATGCGCGGTTCTTGCTCCCCAAAGTCCTGCCTCTATGCCTCGTGAAGCTGCTGTAACGATCCCCTGCGCCACCTCAAAGTCAGATGGAGCAGGTACATCATCAAAAGCCTCAGCACTCCGGAACATCATCTCTTAGCAAAGCATTCGACTCATTTCAACTCACATGGCAGCCCAGCTGCTGGGACAACAACCTCTTTGTGAAAGTCTTGGATTGCCTGAGTCAAGAAGCAAGTCACTTCAGCTTGACAGCGCTGCAACCAGGCCTTGATACGAGATTGAAGTTTCTTCTTCATGATTGCATCTTGCCTTAAGCCACATGATGGGCATCGCGGCATCGTTTTTTTTTTAATCAAAGGGAAACCCACTCTGACACAATGCTGCCCAGGAACAGCTGCTGCGCCTGTGGTGGGCTCCAAAAAAGGGCCGATGCAGGTTGAGGTGCTACGCCTCATCTCACGGAACCCTCTTTCACCTTGCGACCTTGCACGATGCTCACCTGGCAACCTCTGAAACTTCAGATCAAGGCACTTTTGATGTAGGCCTCCCAGAGCTCAGACGAAGGGGACAGGCACTCCTTCACGACATTGATTCCCAGGTGCAGCGACCACCACTCAGGATGTTGATTACGGGCCGCCTCTGAAATCCTCTGCCATGGTTTTTCACGTCCGTCAGATATTCCCAGAAATGCATCTTCCAGAACTCCAATGATGGGTGTGCCAGCCGCCACCGGTACTGAAAGCTGCAGCTGGGACTGACCAATGGTCAAACATGGATGTAGTTTCATGGAGTCTTGCTTCCGGGCCCAGGTTAAGAGCTTTCCAAGCTTCACCTCTGATGGAAGACTGGTCTGGTAGGTCTCTGACGTCAAAAAGCCGTCAAAAAGACTGGTCAGTGGTCGCCTGCGCCTCCTTTTTGCGCGCAGCCTTTGGCACAAAAGGGCAGCCAGAGTAGAACCCACTGAAAAAGCCTGAGGCATTGCAACCCGTTGGCCTCCAGCTGCCACAAATCATCAAGCCAGGAACAGTTTATTCTCAAAAATGCACTGTCTTCTTCATTGCTATCCATGTTTGAGTCACACAGCGACACGGGCCTGAGAATTGTCTAGAACTTGAGGAGCGTGTCGAGCAGCTCGGGCCGCTTGGAATTTTTGTCAAGCGGATCGATCGTGCGTCCCATGGTAGTTGCTGAGGCGAGAGGGCCATGGCAATGGCCCAACCGTTTGTAGAAGGGCACAAGGGCACCATTCCTGTGATGTATAAAGTAAGACTAAGCACTGTTTCATCCGATCTACAAAAGTTCTAGATGAATGACTTCTGGAAATCAAGGCATAAGAAATGCTGCCACCAAACACATCAGAAAAATTGTGGGCGCAGCGAGCCACTCAATTGCAAAGTTTATATAAGCGAAGGAGTCAGAAACGAACATGATCAAAATGTTTACTGGATGACCTTCCAAACAAAAGAACTTCCAAAGCGCTTGTCCAGAGGCATTGTTGTACAACAGCTTAAATACCTGGTACTGACAAGGAAAATCAAAGACTGACATCCCTCGAGAGTCCCTTTCCCTCGGATCTGTCCCGCCTGATTGAGGCCAGGTCTCTCCATGACTTTCTCCAGGCCATGAGCCACCTGCGCGCAAGAACATCTTGTGGGGAGAGAAATCGGAGAGAATGTGGAAGATACCTTCGGAATGTTTCAGCAACGTGCATGAGGCGCAGCGTGAAGCGGTGTCGGACTTTCTCAAGCGCTCTTGGACTTCATTTGTGAGATGGACAGAAGCCGCCGCAAGAAACCGCTCCAAAGGTCGCCTTAGACCAAGCTGTAAGTTTCACGAATCTCATCAGAAAAGAGTATATGTTGTTCTCCGCTGGGAAATCTTCACAAAACAGATGCATGCCAAAATGTCTCTCTTTGCCGCATTGACACCGGCCGAAAGTTTCAAACCAGCAGGTGGAGAGGAGAAGTTCAGTGGCAATCCGTCATGAACCACCACTCTGGTATCCGGAAAGCACAGAGTCATGGCCTGTGTTGCGAAACAACAAACTTCTCTTACAACAAAGACTAAAGAGTGCTGCAGCACTTGGACACTGCCTCTCGGACGTCGAGTAGGTGGACATTAACACCTTTCCAGAAGCGCCCAACATAGGTGTCCACTAAAAATTTACAACTGTGTGTGTGTGTGTCTTTTCCGGCCTTCTTCCACGCATAGCAGCCTAATTTCAGCCGACTCGTGGATGAAGGAGCTTTTGTGGCAAGGGCGCACCTGACTCAGGTAGTGCAAGCATAAATGTCGAGCCATGGACCATGTGAGTCACCCAACGCGATGCCGTCAAATTTGTGGTAATTGAGTGTTTCCGGACAGCTGCAGCACATCTTGACAAGTCTCATCTTGGATGCATCTTGCAGGGCCTCCCCATCTTCTGGTAGAGAGAAAGATTCAAATCCAGAGGCAGAGCGCTCGATTCTCAGCACTACGTCCTTCGACAGGTCTGCTAACAACTTAACAAATAAACGACCGTCCTGTCCTTCTGCTTTCTCTCCACATGGATGCGTGCTTTGGTACAACCTCCTTGCTGCAACATAGTTGCAGAGAAAAAAGTGCTTGTCGGCTGTTCTTCAAGTTGCAAGTTGCACAGCAACACAGTCATCTCCAGAGCTGCTGAAACTCAAAAGGAGCTTTAGCTCAGATGCTTTCCTGGAAGAGCATACGAATGTGGACCAGAGAAGCTAACCTCAATCGAGTTGCGAAGAGAAGCAATGCATCGAGACACATTCCAGAACAGAAAGCTTCCAGGTCTCGCGACTGCTGACAAGTGTGCCATTGAGAGCTGCGAGCATAAGGCAGAAATGACTCCTAAGGACTTCAGAAAGCAAATTCAAAACCATGTCAAAACGCACAGAAAACAATATAGCTGTGAAGCCTCAACACTGACCTAGAGTCTCCAGTGTATCCACAATGTCACACAAATGGTATCAAGTGTGGCTCAGCCGCAGCAGAGTGATTCTGATTCTCCAAGGGGCGAAGTGCAGCAGCAGAGCAAGGAGAGCATTCTTCACCTCATGTCAAGGAGCAACACTGGTATTCAGGCGTCAAACACCAGTAATTCTGGCACGTGCTCTTGGGAACCCTGATGAAGGAGTATGTAACAGCATAAATATATTAGATGCCTCGGCCAATCACTAAGGTAGAGGGAAATATGGAGTAGTGCAGTCTTACACCAACTCATCTCTTCTTCTCCACACTGTGGCACCGGCAAAGTCGCTCTGCAAAGCGCTCCCGAGCCTCGTGCAAGGCATTGCGACGAACGGCTTTGCATCGACGCTTCCGTGTCGGCGACGTGTTCCGCCTGCTCGAGGTCGTCGCGTGCCTCACCCGGGCCGTAGATGTCCGCACCAATCTGAAGATCGGTCTTTGACTTGAAGTCGATTTCATCCAAACTTCGGACAGTACGGGCCTGGAAGGTACAACGGTTGAAGTCCTGGCAAAATGCCAACAGTTCTGTGACGAGACCAGACAAACGAAAGAAGTCGTTGAAAACAGCTCCTTGAGACATTGCGGGTCCACGGCGGAGGCGCTGGCAGCGGCTTGGCCCGGCTGTGCTGCCTGAAAGAGGCTTCGCGCCTCCAGCGGAGAAAAGAAGGCCTTCTTTTGTTTCTTTTCTCTTCTAAGAAGGCCGGGGGGAGGGCCGTAAGAGGTAGCTAATAGGTTAAGTATTCTAGGACGCAGGATAGCTCACGCACTATTCATGTGGTTCCTAGATTTTAGGGAAACTTAACAAGTCAGAAAACCGTCCAAAAGGTCATGCTCCGTGACTTTCAGCTTGACACAAAACCAAACCCTTACACGTTGATTGGGTATCTCAATGTATCTCATCTACTTCTTGTGCTACATGTCTCTGTTGTTCAAGTCCGTGGAACATCTGGCCTCATCCTGCAAAGCAGATTGCAAATTTCGATGCCTTGATTCAGCAAAGGCTCGCAGTCGCCTCGGCGTCGCAGCAGAACACACGAATCTTCTTGAGACAAGTGACAGGGAATGAGAATCACATGACACATAAATGCAGGTTCCGAAAGGGTCAAACAAAGGGTTGCACGTGCAACATGTGCTGAATGTATCTGAATATTGTCTAATGCTACGACATGATATTTCGGTGGCCATTATATAAAGAGCGGCAAGCCAGAGAGCTTTCACACATTCCACCGCTACAATCTCTCCTCAACTTGCAAAGCAAGTTGCGAAGGACCTTGTTGGGCACTGTTTCGACGGCAACAAACGGCCATGGAATGGAATTGTCGTTTCACTGCACAGATCGATGATTTGTGGGAGTGTGGTCAATTCTGATGTACTTAATGAATTAAATGTATCACAAATGTCTGCCAGCTGTTTAGAACTCCCATGTGCGACATGCCTGACTATTATGTGACTATGTGTGTGTTCAAGAAGATTTCACCATCCAGATTTACTTACCAATCACCAAGCATCTTTGGCTTTGAACAGCTGGAAATGTCATCAGATATAGATACTGACAAAGAACTTGCACACATTGCAATAAAATGACAGATTCCAAAGAAACTTTGCAAGCACCATCCCACTCAGTTCGTTTGGCTTCCCATGAAGCGGGGGAGGTGAGCACATCAAAGTCGTCGTCTATCAGCGGCTGCATCAAGTGGATCTTCTGCACACCAGCTCGACCACTCTTGTCAAGACTGGCCCTACATGTGGCCATGTACCTGCGCAGGAAAGGCCCACTGAATTGCAAGTTCCGGTGATCATGCTTGGCTCACCCTTGTGCATCTGCATCAAAGAACGTCTTGATTTGGTAGCGCCGCTGTAAGGCCTGCGGACATGGATTAGCAACCCGGCAACCCAAATGACACTCCATTGGACATGCAGAAATGCCAAGCTCGCAAGAGGCTGTAGGCCTCGAGTGCACCAGCACCTAGCCGTGCTCTTGGGCCATCGTCGGCCGCAGGGTGCAACCGTCTGCCTAGGCCAACCACCAGCACCTCCAAGGGGGCAACAGACTTGTGAAGTCGTTGAAACTATATGCAGAATCGTGTCTAGTGAGTCTAGTGCCCGGAGGTCCTGGTTCGTTTTTCCAGTTAGTGAGCACTCATGAAGAAACAAATGACTTCGTTACTTGTTTCATTTCACTAGTGACGACTTCTTCGCATTCGTCGTGCCTCTGGTGCTCCAATGGCCTCAGGTCCTGGAGGTGCCCAGAGTCCCTGGCGTAAAGACACGGGTCTCGTGACGGCGGATTCCCTGCTTCAGCACTCGTGTTCTGGTCCGATTCTGTGAAGGCACGGGTCTCTTTTTTTCAGGATCAGTAGGATCAGGAAGCAAAAGCAAAGGCAAATGTGTGTCACATCACATCTCAACGTCGTCAGATCACCATGCGGTCTCGCAATGGGGCTGGTGGTCGGACAGGGTCATCTGGATCCTCCACCAATGACCGTAACTTCGTCTGATCTATTGGTTTTGAAATTCTGATGATGTGCAATGTACAAACCTTCGCACAAAAAGACTTCCAGTGCAGTGTGAACAGTGTGAACTTGGTCTTGCAGAATTCATATCTGCGGTCCTCATATCTGCTCAGCTCGGGCACGATACGTTTCTCCGGACGCTCAGAGATGTCAGGCGAGGTGTCAAGCTGAGCGAAGAGAGAGAGCTCACAAAGCTGTGACGGACAGGAAAAAACATTGAACCAATGAACCAACAAAAAAAGTATGGGTTTGTTGTTTATTTGGAGTGACCAACTACGGTTGTCCTTGAGGCATGCTTGGAATCAAAATGAACACATAGCTCATTTGAGACATGCCTCGAGGCCGGACGGCAAGGCACCCACTCGGCCTCAATATGCGGGACACTTCCAGCAAACTCATAATTTATGTTTTTTGTTGATTTCTTGATAACATGTTTAATTCTTCTATGTTCTTACTTCTTACTTGTAGCTTCTTGCGCCTAGTAGCGATGCCCTTTGTTCCTAGTAGCTTCTTGTTACTAGCAGTAGTGCCAGGAGCTACTAGAAGCGTCCTTGCTACTAGTAGCGAGGCAACAAGATCCAGACCAAGGCCCCTTGATTCCCTTGATCTCAATCTCCAGCCAACTGCCAAAATGAAGGATGCTCCGAAGGAGCCTGAAGGGGGAAGTTGGAAACCAATATATAAAGTACAAAAAGAAACAGTGATTTCCTGTTAGATCATGGAGCTCTGCCACGGAACCACTGCAATAACATGGAACTACTGCAATCGCCACCTGATTTCCGCGGCAGGGCACTAGAACTGCTGCTGCCACCTCACAAGAACTGTGAAATCCGCCTCAAAGTAGATTCATTCCCTCAGGATATATATTCTGCCGAAATTGATACAACAACCAATAGCTGAAACCACTAGCAAACCACACAATCTTTCAACGTGGCTTCTGGGGCCGTTCTGTCTTATGACCTGCCTAGGAACTTGCCTTCCATTTCTTTAGCCCACTCTGCCCTCCTACTACTTAATTTAGTAGGTGCATACTTAATTAAGCAAGAGAGCAAGCTCCTAGCTACTTAAGCTACTGCCTGGGACGCAGGATGGCTCACGCTTCTTCAAGGAAGCTCCCCTGCCTGAGGGCGGGGGAAGTTCCCTTGAAGAAGCGCTAGCACCAATGATTTGGTTCCTAGATCTTTAGGGAAAAGTTAACAAATTAAGACTGTTCTTGCTTTACACACGTAGTGGCGTTTCGAGCGGAACGCCGTGCCTGGCGTCCATCCAGGCACCTGTGGTGGCACTGGGCGTGGCAGCAACACCTAGCTGAGCAAAACAAGCAACATCCAAAGCACAACGTTCCTTCATTCCATTTCCAAGTCATTCGACTCGAAGCTCCACAAATGACGAAGTAAGCAAAACAAACAAGTTCAAGGTATGAGACAATGCACTTCGTGCAAACAAAGACATTGCACTCAATGTGCTCAACAATGTGTTTGAGGGTGCTCCTACTTTTGTGCACCTGCCATGCACCTCCAGCTTCCAGCGACATGAACCTGGTGCAAGACCCGTCAATGAAGTTGCTCAGCTTGAAGACTGGGATGAAGAACCGGTGAAAATCCATGGGGTCAGAAACTGCGAAGTTGTGCAGGGACCACTAGGAGCGTGTGTTGTATGTCTTTCCCTAGGATCAAGTATATACTCGCTGAAGCTGCTCTAGCTAGTAGCAGTTAGTGTGCTTCGCGGTTTTCTTGAGAACCACATGTCACACCTGCGCAGCCCGCGCACTGCGGCCAAAGCGTGGACACTCTTTGAGCCCGAAGACAAAATCAATTTCAGACACAAATCGGCAAAGCTGGAGTCTCAGGCAAAGCCTGCAAGAAGCCAAAAAGTATTTAGGCGCGTCTTGAAAGGTGACTATGATTCTCCTGCAGTGACGTAATGCAACCCACACACCACTGTAGTTGGTAGAGCATCTCCACCACTGACCTCAAGCAAAAACAGCATCCAAGGCACTGTTGAGATTCCTGTCTTGAATTCAGACTGCAGCATCAGATCACAGCATCATGCTGCAAAAACTTAGATATCGCTGGGGAGATGAACCCAATGCGCCACCGCTCTCTGGGTTGCGCCTTAGTGGCATTGTGGAATAGATCATGAGAGAGGAGGTGAGTGAAAGTGCGACAAAAGGCTGCAAGTTAGACTTCTGTCATTTCAAAGTTCCACGGCCAGTCCTTCAGCAATTGTGGGTCATCCACTGTCTCCATTGCTCCTAAGTTCTCAAACATGTCATTCAACATTGGCCGAGGAAGCTGAGTCTGGATCCTGTGGAGCAGAGTTGGCTCACGAAGCCAAGCGCAAACAAAGATAGGTTGATTTTTTGTTTGGGGAGATTTGTGGTTCATGTATGGATTACATGTATGTGCTGCTTTTTTGAGCTGCGGTTCCTTCTCCTGTCAGGCTGAGTTCTTTTGCACCTGGACGCATCATTGCACTCACAGTTCCTGACAGTTCCTGTCCATGGGTTCTGCTTCCCAACTTGAGACATGCATAGCAACGTACAAACAAAAGCTTCTGGCTCCGAAGACAAATGAAAACCCTGCCGTGTATGCCAGCTTCGCAGCCGCAGCTCTCTTCCAGCGATTCACCTACTCGCTTCCAAGTCTGCTGTTGCTTGGAACGCTAGCAGCCTAGCCAGCAATGGAAAATCTCTGAGATGGACGGTCTACATTAGCAGAGCATCCGTTAAGCGCAAAATGTGCATATGAATTTTGTCTGTTCAAAGAAGCGGACATGAGGGTTGTGTTATTCTGGAGGGTCCATTTCCTGATCAAACCAGGATCCAACTCTTCTGTGCGCACACCACATGTGAGCGAGTTGTTGCATAGACACTTCTCCGGAGATGGAACCCCCAGTGCATGAATGCCTCCATCAAATGCTTCACACAGACAAACCTACCGGCGTGGTATCCTCAGCAATCAAGGCACACTGCTCAAACCATAACACAGAGTCTGTTCAAATCTCAATCCAAGGAACTGCGAATGTCTGAACACTCGGGCTTGCTTCTCCTACAAGTTGAAAGGTATTGTAATAGAATGGATAAAGTCGGATAGACGAAAGTCAGCAAAGATATGCAGCTCAACATCTCCGTCTCCTGCACTCGATTCCTCAGAAGGCTTCGCCTCTGGAGATGCAGCAGCAACATCTTCCTAAGGTCAACGGTCAACGGCAGGAAATCAAATATATATATATATATGTATATTATATATATATATAGTGTGTGTGTGTTTTTGGAAGCAACTAGAATCTGCAGAAATGTTTGGATGTAGCTTTCCAATCTCAAGCTCCCTCTCCCTCTCTCCCATGCTCGCTGTCTTGTGCTCGCTCTCTCTCTCTCTCTCTTTCTCTCTCTCTCTCTCTCTCTATGCAAGGACATACGCTTTCCAGGCAATGGACTTGCTCCGATTTCTTGGTGTTAATTTCCTCGTCTTGCAGCAAACCAGAACAGCTGCGCACTGCATGCTTAAAGCTTTACGGCATCTCTATCAACTGCTCAAGTCAAAGAACTGTCAAAGTTCCAGAACAATCTGACGTCAATCTAAGGCGAGCAACCTTCTTTTGATGGCTTGTTTCCCTTGGCTGCGGGGGGTGATTCGTTGACCCAAAGAAGGCAAGCCGGCTGAAGCAAGAGCACACACACAGAAGTGGCCTTGTTTGCACCACACGCATGCTCATGCTATGTCATCCTGCTCTGGTCTACCCTCGATTCCGTTGGCTTTTCCAGGGCTTCAATTGGTTCTAGTCTTCAACAAGGCTCCAGGAGGCCCAAAACTCCGGTGGACGCGAAGACTTGGCTTCTTGAAGTTCAGCACGTTGGAGCTCTCGATGGATCTCCAAGACTTCACTTCCTCGTAGCGCTGCTGACTACCCCATTACAGTGTTTGTCTTGGAGTTAAGTGCCTTTTGCCCTTTTCTACTAACAGAACTTTTTGACAAGAGAAAAAAGAAAAGACCTTCTCCAAGACTACTGCAAACACCTGGGGCCGTCCAGCCTTGGCCGTCCAGGCTTTGCGTGGCAGATACCACCTGGCATTTGCACTCTGGAACAACTTTGTGATGTGGAAGCCAAGAGCAAAAACGGCTGAGCGGAAGCCATTCAAGCGTTTATGTCAGTTCTGCGTCGCAGAAGGCGACAGAACTGCCCTGTCCCGCCTCTGCTGGCACATCAAGAAGGCCAAACTCGGTGGTTGTGGAAAGTTCCATTGCATGATCATAGAAGCTTTGCGCAGCAGCACCTGGGCTAGCTTTGATCAGGTCCTTCTGCCAAAAGCCAGGTTCATGAAGATTCATCTATCTTCAACAAGAGCGTCATCCCATCCCATTGGGGTCGTCTCCCGTTTGAGCTGCTAACCCGTTTCCCAAAACCGACGGGTCACGGCCCAGAGCTGCAGCCGCTGGGTAGGCGAGGGAAGCTTCACGGAACTTCTTCGAGTTCACCACCAAAGCATCAGACTCTGCAAGAGCCCTGTCAACTGCGGGTATCTTGTTTGTGTGTTTTTAAGGACGTATTAGTATTGTTTTTAAGGCAGGGGGGTAGGCCGCGGATAGAGGAAGAGGTAGCTAGTAGCTTCAGTAAGCTACTAGCTAGGACACAGGAAAACTCTCGCTTCTTCAAGGAAGTTCCCCCTCGCGGAGCTTCCTTGAAGAAGTGGTCGCACTAATGATGTGGTTCCTAGATTTTAGGGAAACTTTTGAATATTCTGTCATGAAGCAATGAAAGCAAGTGTGGAAAACGTGCATTGAAGTCTGACATCGGTGCATGATTCATTTCAGGAAGCTAATGAAGATGCTCGCTCCTCATCTCTCCACGTGTGCGCCAAACCAACCACAAAGCTGCTTCGCAGCTCCAGCTGTTTTGCTCCAGCTGGATCGTCAAAGGAATTTCCTCAATTCGCTTGGCGTGTTCCAAGCAGGCAAAGACCTGACGAATTGTTTGTGCACATTCACCAATATTAGTATACAAAATATGTATTATATATAACTGATAAAGGAAAATCAAAGTAACCAAAGACTTTTTCAGTCAACCAGGCTAGAAGAGAGGCAAGAGCAATAATCCACTTCAAAAAGCCTTCCTGTATGGCTGCTTGAAAGAAGTATGAGTAGCTATTGCTACCAGACAACAAGGTACTATGGCACAAACAATTGAAGCCAAGTAGCCCTCCGATTAATCGTTACCTTCACATAGTACACGAACGCTCCAGAAACCAGAAAATACATCTCCTTTGCCTCCTTACTCTGGTGAAACACTCTGTCTTTCTTTGCATAGATTATATTGGATAGTGCTGTTGCACATATCTGAGAAATGGCTGGAGAAGCTGTCGCCGAGTATTGAGCAAAAACCTTGGCGCAACCCACGAGAGGCAAGCTTTCGGCCCACGGTTCTGTCGGACTAGGCTTGAATGCTGTGCACATGAACTGTTACCAGTGTCAATTTGCCAGGAAGAAAGAACGCCCAAGCAAGGTGTATGTATATAAATATTCTTTCGATACGTTCATGTCCTGTGTCTGGCATTGGTGCCAATAGAACACTTTGCTCCAGCATTTTCCCGGAGCTGTTCAAACATGTTTGTGCAGATACTCCTTGCAAGATGACCAGGCGATTCAATTCTTCGACATCTCAGCAGCATAGTTTGGGAAGACGAGAGTTCCTGGCAGCCCCATCTGGCTGCATCCTACGGAGTCCTCTCAAACCGCGGCATCTATGCTACATGGCAGCCACGCCTCGGGCTATATCTCGGGCTACGGGCACCTTTTCTCTAGATGTTCTTGCATAAGTATTCATCTATCTCGGTCATGTATCATATCAATACATAGCCATGGCAATACCATCCACCATCTCTATAAGACGTAAAAATCTCTCCATTCTGTCCATTGACTTGTCGGTTTACCAAGAAACTGGATGTTGGTTCAGCGTGTGGGAGTGAATCTCCCTTTGGAGCTCCCAATGTAGAGGACCAGACAAGAGCTGAAGGTAGTGAACCTTCGAATGATGTGTTCTCCTGTGTCGCAACTCAAGAACATAATCCACATACCTCACAGGGGCATTGCCAACTGCACTGTCCAAACCCAAATTGATGAAAATCGCTTGACCAAACAAAAAGTTGAGTGTTTGCTCCCAAACATTGGAATTTGATCTAGGCAACCAACGGACTGAAAAAGGCAATTTGAAGAATGCACCTCAAGATTCTGCTAGACAGGTTCCGCGAAACTGCATTCTCTTTGAGGAACTTCTTCAGAAGGAAGTTCTGGGATGTGTTGTAGCGTGTGAGTGACCACACCTCAAGTTGCAAGGGGTTGCCGCAAACAATCAAGACCTTAGCACTCTCACTAACTCCGAGACACGACCTTGGAGAAAAGCACACCCTTCTGTGCCAAGCGTCTGCATTCATAATCGTAGTGATACCTGACTCACATTTACACTGACAAGATTCTGTACTTGTGTACTGCCCTGAGAGGAATCTCCCTGGCACAGGTTGAACTGTGATAAAGTGTGGCCGAGAGGCTACTGACAAAGCAGGTGCCCAGAACCAGCCCATACACGAGGACGAATACATAGTATGCACGCTCAATCCTCGGCAACAAAATCCTGCAGATTCCATAGAATGCCACACATTCAGCTCTGAGCAGGGCGCCGGCATCTAACTTGAATCCTCAGGACAAACGATTTACAGTACCAATCGATTTCTTCACGAGGCCAAGAGCGGTCACAGCGATTGTCAAAGGCGTTGCTGCAAAGTCGCAACGAGGCTCCAGGTGTAAACTGTGCCAAGGACCATTGAATCGAAACCTAGGTCTCCAGTCTGTAGGTTTTCGCTCCATGTAGCAACATTCCACATGCTGAAAAGGTAGCAGTTTCGCCAAGAAGCCATATACTGCACTGACATCTCGGCATCCTGAATCCCTTCTCTAGGCACCCAACAATCTGCCTCGGAAAACATCATGCAAAAGCAAAGAAACGAAAAACTTCTGCTGTCTCACCTCCGCATCGTGGCCGGTGGTGCCGATCAAGAACCAAAGGCAAGCGATGTAGTGATTGGAAAGCAAAATCACCTAAAGAAGCCATCCAACGCTAAGCATTGCTTGGCAGCCAAAAATGCTTGAAACACAGTCCAAGGACTTCATATAAAAATGTTTTTCTTGTCTTCTTCAGCGATGTGAAACTTGCAGCTGTACAGTGTCATGCCGCTGCCCAGACACCGCGAGGTTCCGCACAACAGCCAGCATTAAAGTCACCCACTCGGAATCCTTACAAATCCATTTCTCGCAAATCAAGGAATAGGTTTGGAGAAATGCATCGTCCAACTGTTGCCAAGTCTCAATGAGACTCTGCAGAGCGAAAAGGAGCTGCCTGAAACGGAGTCGACCAAAATGAACTACAATGCAAGCGAACTTGTCTTTTCTTGCCTGGGGGGTAGGCCGCTGAGAGGAAGAGGTAGCTAGTAGCTACTTAAGCTACTACCTACTGGACGCAGGATAGCTCACGCTTCTTCAAGGAAGCTCCTCGCCTGAGGGCAGGGGGAAGCTTCCTTGAAGAAGCACTCGCACTAATGATTTGGTTCCTGGATTCTTAGGAAAACTGAACCCTGTTTCTAACTGCTAACATTGGCAACATTAGTTATCAGACCAACACAATGGAACTTTCAGACCTTGCCTCAGCTTGGCCAAACGTACCAAGCGTAGCAAGCGGATAATTCGCATAAACCTTGCAATCCTGCACCAAAGATTTTGTGAACATGCGCGTCAAAGGGTGGGACAAGCTTGCAAAACGGTCTTGCAAAACTCGACCGAAGCCAACCCAAAGCTTGAACCATAGACTGAAGCTTCAAGCTGGACCCAACGAGATGAAGTGACTATCCTTCCAGATCTGGCTGCACCAGCTGCTGTACTATCAGGATTGAACCTCAGCTTTGATCTGGGCAAGGCCACAACAGGCGATACCAGGCGGGGATATGGCATCGCTACTAGTAACAAGTGCATCGCTACAAGGGCATCGGCATCCCTACTAGTAACATGTTTCTTGAAGCCACTTTGGCTTCCTCATACCAGCATGCTAGAAACGCTCATCGAAAGCTGCCTATCTCTAGGTGTTCAGCTTCTTCAAAAGGGATGTCCGAAAGGCTTTAAGTTCTGCGTAGCTGCTGGGTTACATGCAGCAAATGCTGCGTTCTGTTGTGCAAATGCTACACGGCTGCTGAAAGGGACCTTGCCCTCACTTCACCTGAGCTTAAGATCTCTCCCCTCCTATAGCCTGGCCGCAAGTTCGCCATGTAGGCATAAACATCCAGGCTGATCAAGAGCACATCAAAAATCAACCATGACCGAGCCTTGGACAGAGATCGCATCTCTAAAGTCTTTTTCCTATCTCAACGTGTGTTTTCAGGCTTTGGGGGTGGAAGTGCAACTAAGAAAGCTTACTTCACGTCTGGTGCCAAGAACAAAGACAAGGAGTTTGGTAGGACTTTACAACTCTTGTTTACCTGATGCGCAAGCAGAAATGCTTTGTCGCTTCTCACAGCAAAGCAGCATAAGCACGGACGATGTGCCAACGGCGCATATCAATCTCTCCTTTCTCGGAGTATATGGCAGTGTTCATATTGACGAAAATGTCCAGGAACCAGTAGAAGGATGTGAGTCCCTGTACCCAAGCGAAGGCTGCGCTTGGATCTTGCGGGAAGACCTCCATCGGCACCCACAAAGTGTCAAAACCTAGGACCTTAGTTTGTTTCAGGTGAAGCGCAATACCATGCAAACAAGTCAAGCCTTTTGGCTCCAGACCAAAACACCCACCAATTGCCAGATAATGACCAAGTGCACCTGGAAAGGGACAAGTGATGCAGTTCTACCACATGTTCGCTTTGGGTCTCGAATCCTTTCATTTGTCGCTCTGTTCGCTTTGGCGTCATGGAAGAAACAAACTCATGGAACTGCCTCAGGTCGAAAGACTCCGTTGGCGTAGCATAGACCGCCAGGTTTGTCTAATCCATGTCGGTTCTCTTCATTCTCCAGGGATGACTTGCGTGCGAGAATCACACTGGGTGCTTGCCTTCCTGGGGTCAAGGTGAAATTCAACGGGATGGAGAAGAGTACTCTCACATTAGAACATCAAGACATGGAAGATTCTTATTTGAGTTGGTTTCGGCTATACATATATATATATATATGTAACTAGTGTCATATGCAGATCTGTGTAAACTCGTAGTGACGAAACATCAATGGTCCCAGCTTGAATTCCGAAGCAAACCCTTTTGAGAATCTTTGTGCACACCGCTGCACTGCGCAAGTTCAAGTCTCAGTTTCCTGAGCAAATATTTGTGTCCCAACTCAAACGGTTCGTTTCATAGTTTCAGGGGAAACAACAGGTATCTCGATCATGTTTAGGAGGAAGCTGACAATAGACTAGCTTGGTATTCGATCGCGTCTCTATGGAAGGAAAAGCAGCTCGCCCAGTCGGCCAGGAAACCCCACCTTTACAGACCTTGGGTGCAGTAGAGCAACCTGTGTCTTCTTCCCATTCAGGAAAAATCTCCAAGGTTGTCTTTTTCCATAAAGAAGACGTCCTTCCAACCATATCAGCATCCTGCAGTCGGTGAAGCAGAGCGAAACAATGTAGTGTCAAAAAGATGAATCACCAAATTGGCATGAACTATTTTGGGCTCGCTTCCATCTCTGCATATTTTGAGACTTCTTCCTTGTCTTTGTCATCTTCTCCGCCATCTTTTTCACCCTCCTCTGCAAGCTGACGCAGAGCCTGGGCGCTGACATACAACAAGTCCCAGAACATGCGAGATCAAAACAAAGCTGTCAAAGTCAATGAAGTTAAAGTACAAAGTCAGGAAGGAGTTGAACAACAACAGCACCTTTGTGCCCAGTGTCCTCCTTTGTGGACTCATCAAAGAGACCGTCCATGCTCATGGTCATCGTCTGCTTGCGACTCGCCCATCGTGTCTGTCGGAGCTCCTGAGATTCACAGCGGCGATTGTTCTTGGTTCGCCCATGTTTTCACGAAATAATTGAGACAAGTAGGTAGAAACAAATACAATCCAAATTGCCATTGGCCATTGGATCACTCGACATGGACTCGACCCTGGCGCCTCTCTCAGCTGACTAAGCTCTTGATCATGCGCTTCTTCAAGCCGCCGCAGCAGATCCCGGAAGTTGGACATCAGCCCCGGTCGGCGCACAAACAGTTGTGGAAACAGTTCCAGAATGGAAACAACCACCGCGACAAGTGTTATTTTTGGTGTTTGTAGCAACATATCGAACTGGTTGGTTTTGTAGAAAAATAATGATTGGATATGGTCCTTCCTGACCGTTTTGGGCATGCGGAAGTCTTTGGGCCAAGACCGTTCCAGCATTTAATTTATTGTCAAAACATGAAGTTCATTCAAAGATACACGAACCCGTCCATATATCACTCGGCCGATGCCAGCTTGCAAATGTCACAACACCGACAAACAACAAAAAACGATCCCAACATGTGTAAAAACCTTTAGTTCAATCGGTGTCCAAATTCCAATGTTCATTCGCATCCAGCAACATACCAAAAAATTATCCAGAAGTTCCTGTGGATCACTCCAAATGACACCAAACCCTTCATGGAATGCCAAACAAAAAACTATTGTCTGGTCTCGTGCGTAATCTGTCCACGGACTGTATTGTGGCAGCATTCTTCTGCTGGCGCAACACAGCAACTGTGCTGACTCTCCTTCAAGCCTGCAACTACAAAAAACACCAAGGCTGCGTTCCCCTCTCCTAGCGGCCAACCTCTTTCTTGGACGGTGCAGAAAAATGTTGTATTCAATCCAATCGTGGGAAAAATCTCAATGGACTACCATGGAGGTAGTGTCTTCACAGTAGTGCTGTTGTCCAATAGTTTTCACGTGTGCACATGTGTTCACTTTGGGGAGATGTCCATTCCATGCTCCGGTAGCGCATGTGGGTTCAAAAGAAAAAACACACTGCTCAACATGGCAGCGGGACACTGACGATCCAGGCATTTTTGATTTCGATCTTTTTTTGGTATTGAAGAATTTGCAAGTGTTGGTTGATGATATGCATGACGGTTGGACCGACTTATTCATGTGCTCTTGTGCACCCCGTGCTTAACAAGGATTGTTTGCATGTCCTGTGCGAGCTGGCTCGCCGCTTGTGTCCCTTGTTGCGAAAGCGTGGCAAATTCAAAGAGCATCTGCAAATTTGTGCAATGTGTTTTTTTCCCAGAAGGCAGGGTCTTTGTTTTTTTCTGCTCGATCGAGAGCTGTACTGAAGGTCACACCGAAAAACCCAACCAGATTTCTCAGACCATCAGCGTTCCAGAGGAGAAAGTCTGGACCGGCGACTGTTTTGCACGTTGATGGATTGGCCTGGTGTCTTCAAGTTTTGAGTTTGAGCGTTGGCATGCAGACAAGGAAGGCCTTGTTACACCGAGCGATTTTGAAGCGTCTGTATCAAGCTTGAGGTGGCAGGTTTTCTGCGAAGTGGAATCCTTGACTGAAGTTGATGTTCAGGAACATTTTTCTTTTCAGTTGTCCATTCCACCGTTTCTGCAGTTGTGCCTTGTCTCCCCCCAAGCAGTCAAGGCCCAAAAGCATTTTGTTTTTGTCAACCTCAAAGCCAACCTGAGAACCGCTGTACCGCCACAATGTTTCCAGTGTGAACATGTTGGGCACCTTTCCGATCACAGACTGTGTCTTTTGGGCAAAGTTGGCCGTGCTGTTGTCGCGACTGCGCTCTTGTCTGGGCATTTTTGGAGATTGGCGTCCCAGTGGCTTCTGCCGGCAACCCATAGCCTCGGGAAGTGCTGCCAAACAAGAACTGCTTCGGTGAGATCAATGGTGGCGGGTCCTCCTTCTTCTCACTTCCGTCTTGAAACCTTCGCTGATCAGAAAAGACTTGAGAAAGCTTCAGCAGATGGTGAACTTCTTAGAGAAAGCACGTTCCAGAAAAATTGATTCCGGGATTGCTCATTCAATGGCTTCTGTTGACTTGCACAAATGCAATGTCTCTTGAAAGAAGGCACACAAGGCAAGGTTTTGCACTGAGTCTGTTGGACAACATGCTTCACTTGGATTTCTTCTTCGAAGGAAAGCACGATCAAAACGATCGAACGCGCCGTTTTCAAATAGCTAACTTTGGGCCACTGAAGGCCGGCGAAGTCGAGTCTCGAAACCTGCACATGACAGCGGTGGAAATCTGTAACACTCCACCTAAAAAACGGCCTGGAGCAAAGGTCGCCTTTTTCACTTCACCGCTTTCAACGTAGCGGCGTGCTCGGCCTTCAAAGTCGTCCTCCCACTGGATGGAGAGGACTGCCACACTGAATGCAGCAAAACCCCGCTGCTCCTCTTGGTTCCAGCCCATGATGTGGTCAAACACCATGTGGTAGTACCGCTTGCCATAGAGGGAGGTCAAGCGGGTTCGTAGGAACTCCTTCAGCTGGTTATTGGGGAAAATCCCAACTTCCTTCAATTGTCTTGCTCTTGGCTTCTCTTCTGGCTTCAGCCATGAGATCAAAGTCTCATAGTCCCACCAGTCAGCATCAACCGGTGGAATCTCATCATAGGGCATCTCGGCCAGTTCTCTGGTCTTTGGGCACTTCGGGCAAGTTGTTCATCAATGTCAATGTCCACTTCCATAGGGCTTGCTTCATCTCTTTCGGAGGTCGATGGTTTGTACCTCCTTTGATATCCTCCAAGGGGATTGCTCATGAAGTATTCTTCACCACTTTCAGCGTCATCTGAATTTGCCAACAATCTATATTCTTGTAGTCGTCCAAGTTCTGGATTCCAATCTGTCACCCAGCTTCCAGTCCAGGTGATCTCCCATTGGTTGTTTCCATTTCCATCTTGACCTTCTCCTTCAGCTTCTGGCTCGGATTCTCCATCTTCTGGCCACATTCGAGTCTCTGGAGTTGCTTCATGAACTGGTTCACTTGCTTCTTCTTCTGCTCGTTCTCTGTGCGGCAAGGGTTCATAGGTCCTTGGTGCAGGATCCGGATGCCACTCGCCAATGCTTGCTGCCATGCTTGCTCTCATGATCATACCCACTTGGTTCTGGAGATCTTGTTCCCGTTGAAACTCCATAGTAGTCTCCTGTCGTACAAAGCGACTGCACGTTCGAAAGAAAATGGAAATCTTCATTCGAAACCTGTAGCCAATGTAGATGCCAAAGGCGAACACAAAAAGGGGGTGTAGACACAGGCAATCTTGAAGATTATCCACCCTGTCCACCACTCTCCTTCTTCCGTCTGCAGTCTTTCTCCAGTCACTCCTTGTTGCAGTAAAAGCAGAGTCACTGCTCTCACAACATTCGTGGGCATCTTAGTTCCTGAACATCCATGGTCCAGAACCACCATTTGCACCATTTCCTTCTTCACCTCCTTCATCTTCTTTGCAAGCATCTTGTTAGGTAGCCGCGCTCTTTTGGACCGACGCGCTTCGGTACGAAGTGATAAGAACAGATACTACCCACATCAAGTGTCCTATACAAACTATCCATCAAAGTGTACATGTAAACTGTAGAAAAAGTTTAACACGCCGCCTCGACATGAGACGGGCTTTTGAGTCTCATTTTGACTCTCTTGTACACTTGGTTCTGGATACCGCTTCTTCTAAGCGGCCAAAGACAAGGTCATCCAGATTCTATGGCTCGGCTGTGACGAAGGAGCGCATGGAACACTCCAGGGACTTCGTGTGGCATGCACCAGGCATGTGGGGCTCGCAGTCCTATGGGGGCTTTGAGAAGAAGCTCGTTGCCCATCTGCCACTCCTTCCAGGCTCTGTTTGGGATCACCGAACAGTATCCTGCAAAAAAGCTTGTCGGGGGACTGCCGGAGCAAAAGCAGACTTGGTCCATGTCTTGCTGAGCTTCTTCACTGATGAGGAGGTCAATATTTTCCATGTGCGAGTTCAGTGTCGAATGGGTCTGCCCTTTTTGATCCAGACTAGCCCCGTGGTGACTATGACAACGTGACTGCCTGGGATATGAGGCGGCTTGACTGGCTCGCAGGTCATAGGCTGTGCAGGCGGTATTGGTCTCTGCTTCCTTCCTGCCTACTGGACGAATAAAATATCGCTGGTGATCAGGTTATCGGCCGCCTGTGCGAGCTGCCAGCAGCTGCAAACTGTTGATTTGTCCCAAACGGACGTCATTGAAATTTTGGGCTCAACCTTTGCACACTGCTCACAGCTGCAGCAACTCAGCCTTTCCCGAAATTTACGAATCATTGAGCAAGAAGCCTTTCTCAAGTGTACCTCGCTGCAAGAAGTCTGCATCCCACCATCCCTGCTTTACATTGCGCGGCGTGCTTTTGCAGGTTGCACGCAACTTCGAGCAGTTCGTAAAAAAGGGAAGAGCAAGACATGGCGAGGTACATATGCCCGGCTCAATGCCTTTGACAAATGTGAGCAACTAGACAAGCCCAAGTGGCTCCGATTCTTGCCGCCAAATGCCAAAGACCAATGGAGAGAAGACTTTCAAGAAGCCTTACCCTAGGCTGGCAACGCTCTAATAACAGTGGTGGTGCACTTCGATTATGCTTGCCAGGCTTAACAAAGTTCAAGCAGAGTTACCATTTCGTCCTCACCATCTACGATTCAGTGAGCCTACAGGAATGAGAGCCTTAGCTTCTCGTTCCCAAAAGGCGGGTGGTAGAGAATGGCAATGGAAGGCCTTAGTTACTCTCTGCGGCTGCCATGCCATGGCCAATTTTGTACAAAGAGGCACAAGCACCATGCTAGGATAGGTCCACGGCTTCACCTGTTTCACACGGGCCTTGCACGTAACAGGAGGATGTTTTCACGATGGCACCTCTCTTTCTTTCAGGAACAGAACATACCTCTTTGGCACTCCTTGGGTGCCAAGGGGTGCAAAGGAGACCTCCCTTCGGGGGGGAATGCAGCACCCGAGAAGGGACTTTTCCGCGGCATGCTTGGCATTGCAACAACTGAATTCCTTGGGCAAGAATCAGACCTGCTGACAATCAGAGCAGCTCCTGCAAAGCACCCAGTTACCACGGTTTGCCAATCGATGCAGTGGCCGTTTGGTCACAGTTTTGAGGGTGGAGCGAAGCCCCTTTGATTGGCTTCGTTGCACTCCGCTCGTGCGCTGACCCTTCTGACAGACTTTCGTAGCGAATTCAGGCCCATAGATAGTTTACAGCCAACTTTTCTCACCTGTCTCACCTTCGTACAGAGGAAACACTTTTAGATAAGGGGGATTCGGCC